GTATGTGCCCCTAGCGGGAACCAAACCCGGGACTCTCTGGTCCACAGGCCTATGCTCCAACCGCTGAGCCAAACCGGCCAGGGCATATATATTAACTTTTTCAAAAGGCCTTCACTAGACTCTTACACACTTTCAACTGTTTTACCGTGGACTAAGGAAATATAAACAGAGAAGGGGGGGGGGATTCCCTACCTGGAATCCCTTCTCTGAGGTAGTTCATGTAATAATTCTTGGAATTATTAATCTGAGGATATATATTTAAGAAAAAATAATCTTATTGAAACCTAATAACTGCCATTTGTGGGCCAAAAATGGACGTGGGCCCTCATGACAAAGGCTAAAGAATGACTATTGGCAAAGGAAGAAGAGAATTCAAGTATATAAAATACAATGCCTTATCCATCACTTTAGCAAAAATTGTATTTTGGCCACTTCTAAACTGGCTGCAGAGGCAGGAGGAGAAAAAAACAAATTCAAGATCTGAGAAATGAAAACTAAAACAGAAACGACTGGCTACGTACGAGAAGCGGCTCCTTGAAACGCATTTTTAACATGAGCGGTTGGCAACCCAGAGGGATGCCAACCAAGAAATATGTGTTCGGGTATTTAATATAATGAAGAAATAAAGTAGACATGAGCATCAATTCTAAAACGCCACACCTACGAGGCTGCCAGTGAAGCTAGAAAGTGCAACATGGAGGACTCAAATAATGATAAAATCTTACTGAGAAATTATAAACTTATGAAAATTATCCCAAGAATTATTACACTGGGAACTGGGTCACTGGTTAAAAGCGAAGCAGAAAGGAGATTCCTTTAGGAGGCCAAAAACCTATTTCTATATAAACAAGCCTGCATATGCGACTCCCAGGCAAATGTAACCTTGCAAGTCACTAAACTTTAATCATGCTTGGATTTTTTCCAAGAAAAAGAGTCATTTACTCAGAAGATTCAAGGTAGAAAGTCTTTTTGCAGAGTGTTCACACTTGCGTAAGAGGATAAGGTTGCCCTTCTGGACAAACGTTTTACCTCAACAGTCTAATCAACTTCTATCCATCATCAAAATACTAATTTCCTTAATCTCCTTGATTTGATATTATATTTTCAATTTCCTGAGCTTAACTGATATCCCCTTAAGTACAAAAAGAGAAAAGAAGAAAGAAAGAGAAAGGGGATGGGGGAGGATGAAGGCAGGGGGAAGGAGGTGGGGAGGAAGGGAGGGAGGGTATTCCTGAATACTGACTTTGTTTATCAGGTCTTTGCTTTTCCAGGTAATCTCTAGACAAATCTCAGAGATTAATTTACACACTGAATTTGCCCAGGCTCTTCACATATTAATACTCAGATTAACACCTATTGGAATAGTTCAACAGTGAAACAGGACACCTCAGTCTGTTCTGAAATGACTTCCTGCAGCATCAGCTTCTGAATGTCCCTCAGGACCCGTCTGAACTAGAGAAAGTAAGAGAAATCTGATTGCAAATTCAGGTGACCAAGTACTGCACTGAAGAAAGACAATCAGACATTCCTTTGAGTTATCTGCATCTTTGTGTCTATTTCTATGGAGATGAATTACCTATATTCTGTCCTAATGGATTTGGCTATACAAATGTATTTGAAGCTGTGCTGCATTAACCACCTACTTTCACTTATACCAAAAATGCCTTTCTAAATCAAATTCAATTCAATTAATACAAGGCTTCCGTTTTTATCTACAGTTTCATGAATTTAAATCGGAGTTCTGATAGGTATACAAATTATATTGTTTCACAAATATATTAAGTATGGCACAATATTTAACAAGTCATCATTATGAATATTCCTCCTTTGGTAACATTTGATTTTGGTTAGAGCAGAAGTTTGCAGAAAAGGAGTGAAGATCAATTTTAATAATGCATAGGTAGTGAGAAGGTATTGAGAACAAACTAGAGACCTAACTGTGGTAATCCATCCCTGGGATAAATATTAAAAATCAGGTATGACCTTTGTCCTCAAGGACTTTATATTCTAATTGGGTTCATAAAAGATGAAAATATTTTCTTAGTCATTCCACTCATATCAGATATAAAAGTAACTGCATTTATCTTAGTCTTGACTCCAGGTAAACCTGGATGAATGTCTATTGTTTGCATTTCAACGAAGACCTCCAAAAGGCCAGCTAAGACTGCAGTAATCATTTAATACAGCCAGACTTTGCAGCCAGGAGACTTGAAATCAAGTTATGAGTAATCTTAACAAACACATTATATCTCATCAAGCACTGTTTTCCAATCTGTGTAATGGGAAGATTAACAAATTCCACCATACTGGGTGGTAGTGTTCAGTTGAAATAATGTACTCAAAAGTGCTCTGAAACCACAACTCTATTTGACATCAAGCTACTGTGTAATTTGAGGAATATTAGCACCCCTGTTAGAAAAGTTCAAAGATTATACTTTATTCTAAGACCATGCCCTCCACGCTGCATTTTGGAAAGGGCAGATCAAAGGCGTCCCAGAGTCTGGAGAGCACCATCTTTTTTTGCTTTTGCCTGGCCATCTTTCACATTTCTGTCCATCTTTTTTATTTTAGTGACTTTTTCAATTCTTGTTTGTGATTTCAATGGACTATACTTTTTTCCTGTCATTATAATTTTTGTCTTATACAGTGCCAAAAGGGAGGCACTAAGATTTTGCCATTCTTTAGCCAAGATGGTAAATTAAAGCCTTTCATTTCACTAAATTAAAAAGCAGGGTTGATCATTTAGAAAGTAATTTCAGATTTTGGGCAAACTTCTCAGTCTTCTACTTGGCCATTCTTACTTCACTTTCACCACACACACACACACACACACACACACACACAAAAGTATGCTTCTTGTACTCAAAGATAGGGAGGAAATAAGATTAGAGTAATAATCCATTCAAAGTTGTTTGTATTGTTTTAACTTCAACAGTTATGTTAAAAAATAAATCTGTATGAAAGGAAACACAAAAGTAAATGCTGTTAAAAGTTCTTTTTCCTTGTCATAGATGCTTGTTTGCTGAGGAAAATAAACATTTATGCTTGAAGTGTTTCAATACATATGGTGCAACTAATGACATTTTAAAATTGAAAACATTCATAAATAGAAAATAAACCACTTATGTTCACAAATTCTGCTGGACAATTTCTAACATAAGATAAGCTTGAAACAACATAACTGTGGAAAATGTATTAACTAATTTTTGACACTTATATTCATATTTGAAATTAATGTTGTTTAAAAGGCAGACACTTTAATTCGTATAGATAACTATATTTATGTTCCTGAAATTGGACCAATGTATACATATGCCCTATTTTTCCTCCAGCTGATAGTTGGAATCTTTCACACAACAGAGCAGCATAGTTGTCCTCAACAATCTTTAGAAATAACGTACTTCAATTTCCACATCATCTAAAACAATCAAGTGCATAATTTTCACCCAGTTGCAGATGTTATTCAAAACAAACTTCTCAATAAAAGGTATGTTTAGGAAGTTGTATTGAATTCTAGTTACCCCTGGCAGAACCCTGTCCTGTCCTCCCAACCATCAGGGAAAGCTTTTGGTGGGCTAGACTGAGTATTAAGGGTGAGAGAAGAAAATGTATAAGCCAAAATTGAATTAAATCAGAATTTGTTTGTTCTAGGACAAGTTTCTTCTAAGCTACTTCGAGTTTCGACTAAGTAACTGCAGTAAGAGTTCACCAATAAAGATCTGATAACGGGGACGGAACACACACACACTCTCTCCTTGTCAGAACAATGTGTTATCAAAGGTAGAAATTAACAAGGGAATTTCCATCGTTTTCCTTCACTTGTGTACATCTCTCCCGTCAGGCCCAGGAGAGGCTGGATAAAGTTTACCTAGCTGCGGAAGGAAAGAACTCGCAGTCACAGACCGACGAACCCCGCACACAATCTGGAGAGGCAGAGACATTTCTGGTCCTCTGCCCACTCCCTTCCTCTGCTTCGTAAAAGCCCACAGCTCTCGAGATGGGACAGAACATGCCTTCAGCTTGCAAACAAGTCTGCTGTCAAGTCGGTCCCAACAACCCCTATAACATTCCTTTAGATGTCAGTCGCAAGTCTACACTGAATCCGCGTCACCTCAACCCCAATCCAGCAGGGCAAGGGTCCGGGAGCCCCGGGAGCCCCAGGAGCCCGCGGCGGGCGCTGGCGTCCCGGGGCGCGGCGCTCACGTGGTCTCCCGCCGCCACACGTGCGGCTCGGACCTGAGGCAGCGAGAGGGAAGCACCGCCCCGCGCGGGAGGAGAGACCCGCAGAGGCACCGGACGCGCGCGGAGGGGAGGGGAAGGTCCCTGGCGCTCAGGGACCAGGCGAGGAGAAGCTGAGCTTCAGGCAGTGCTGGTCCAACTGCAGTTCCCGGGGGTGTACGCAGGAAGGAAGACACAAGTTTGAATGGGGTGGCAACTTAGATTTTTTTTTTTTTAACATTTGTCTTAAATGGGCAAATGCACTTGAATTCCATCTAGCGTGAGAGCTTCCAAGGTCGTCACAACCCCTTTCTCGCCTGGAACCCACACTTGAAATCCCTGGCAAAAGAGGGAGCAAATGTATCCCGAGGTAGCAATTCCATCCCCACCCACCTTTTAGGGAACAAAGAGGAGGTGTTGCCCCCGCCAGGCATAAAGCCCGCTGAGTGTTGGTATTTAAAACCCACGGCGGCCAGCTGTGTTTATGGCTCGTTTCGTTTTGCGGGGGGAGGGGAGGGGAATCAGAACTCCTGGACGTTTTTCCCAAACTGGAAGAGCGGAGCTTGGCATCTGATGCCACTAGCACAGAACTCCAGGCAACTCGGGCCGCGGCGGCCGCCACTCCGGAGCGGGGAGGGAAGCGCCGGAGGGGGAGGGGAGGAGGGGCGGCGGGGCAGCTGGCACCGGAGGGAAGGAAACAGGTGAGCTCCCACCGCCACCCACCGACACTCAAGCGCCGCGGCCCCCGGCGCGCCACCGTCCCAACTTGGAGAGGCACTTACCGGCTTTACACGGGTCCTTGTAATCTATCATCTCCGCTTTATCCTCTTCGTTTCCCTCAAAAGTGTAATCATAATCGAGGCCAGCGCAGACCCACAGTTCCCCGTATAAAATAATCCCCAAGGCCACCAGCCACAAGAGCATCCTCGGGGAAAGCGTTTCCAACCCCATCCTCCTCCCCTGGAGGAAAAGGAGGGGACCGGACCGGGAGGTGAGGCGTCCTCGGTCCACGCTGATGTGCGGGGCGAGGAGGACCGGTGTTCCTCTCCCCGCGGGGAGGCTCCTCGGCAGGACCCGGGTGTTCAGGTGTCCGGAGACATGCGGCTGCCGTTGGGACAGGAGCGGGGGCAAGAACTGCCTGTTACCCCCAGTTGCAGAGAGAAGTTGGCGAGGGACCCGCGGGTGGGCGGAGGGCAGGTAAGGAGCTCGTCTCCCGAGATGGGGAGGAGCAGCTGCGGGCAAACTCGGCTCTCGCGGGTGGGTGCTCGCAGCCTGCCAGGTCGTCTTTCTGGCGGCCGAACTTCCCACAGCCGCGGCTGGGCGACCAGCGCCCCACGGGCTCAGCTGCAAACGGAGCTCCGGCTCCCGCGCCGCGCCCCCGCCGCTGCCAGGACCCGGCGGCCGAGCGCGAGCTACCGCCTCCTGCGCCCGCCGCCGCCGCTCCGGGAAGATGAATCCGGTCTGCACATCAGCACATCTGAACTGAAAGGGGAGACCGAGGAAGGGGGTGGGGGGCAGGCATGTCTACGCCTCGAGACCTTAAAAGCCTGCTGAAGCCAGCAAAGCAACTGACTGCAAGGAGAGCAAAAGTGTGAGGATTGGGGGGGATGCAATGTCTGCCCCCCCACCCCAGGCCGTCTTTTTACCCTCTTCCTAACTTGAAAAAAAAAATCTTCGCCGCATCTAACCCAATCACTTGCATCCTGCTTACTTATTCATACAATCAGGGTCAGGATCCGGGCCACAGCCTCCTCTCTGACTTCTTTTGATAGCCTTATACAAACAAACAGACACGAGCGCGCCGACAATTCCATTTATAATTTACTAAAGATAAAAATGAATATATTATGTATCTGCGTCCGCGAACAGCAATTAATAGATGATGTACGTGTCACTCTGGAGTGTCAGACCGGGGGTGGCGCGAGGGATCACGATAACTTAGCTGCAAATCTCTACTTCCCCTCCCCCCAAATAAACAGCGAGTGTGTTTCTTTCCTTCGCAGCCGATTAATTTAAGTACAACCCAGGAATGGAGGAAAAGTGTCGGAGCCTCCGTGACTTAGGTAAGCAAATAGTTTAAAAGTCCTTTTAAAATACCCCTAAGCAGAAACTTTTGCTAAGAACTAAGAGCCTCAAAACTGCAATTAAAATTTAAAAATCCAAAGTCAAGTTACAGATTGCAGCAGCAGGAAACGTTAAGACCTTGCTGATGGGCTGGCGCTCTGGCTCACGTGGGCGCAGGAAGGGAAGTTGGAAGGAATACTCGGGAAGCAAATTTTCTATGACAGTTCTGGCGCCCATGCCCAGAGTTGCTCAGTATCCTTGGGCTTGAGTTGTTTTACTTTGGAGGAGAGTGTGTAAAACCTGGCAGCAGGACCAGCGAGGTAAACCGCATGTCAGCCTCACAGACGCAAGACAAACACAGGCTGTGGGAAATTGGGAAGGGGAAAAAAAAAATCAGAGGAAATCTCTGCAAAACCCCTGGTGTGAGCAATTCAGAGGTTTGCCCACATCTGCAAGTCGTTTCCAAAATAGGTGAGAGGACGTCTCCCCCAAATTTCCAAGGGACTGGTGATTGGGACCTTTCCCTTTTCCAACTAAATCTTGAATTGTCACTTAAGTAGGGACTTCTAAAAATGTCTTCCATTGCCTTTACATGTTTATTTAACATTTAAATTGCCCTCCTTTTCCAGTTACCATCAACATACAGTTTCATCTAAAGGGAAATATGAAGATAACCACACACACATACACACCTTTGACAGGTAGACCAGGTCTTTGGTTAGGGGATTTGACCAGGTTTTATGTTTGTTGAAGAAAAATTAGAGGCTAAACTTGAAGTATCAACTATTTTCAACTTAAACTCAAAATAAAAGGATGAGAGGACTAGGTAGAACTGACCCAAAACCCAGGCTTTCTCAGAGATGCAGCCTCCCTTCTGCAGATCTCAAACTTTTAACCTCCACGTCACAGAACAGAGAGAGGATCTGAAAAGAGCATGTTCAATAAGCTAGTAGAGGTATTTGGTTTTGAAAACTCTTGCTGAGTCATTCTCAAATTCTTTGACCCATCCAAAAAAAAAAAATGTTTGCATAATTAATAATGGAGTTGCTCTAGTGCTCTAGTGCAGCCCATATGAAAGCCTAGACAATTCGACTTTCCTTTAGAGATCCTTGCTCTTGAGCTGCTGACAGTGTCCCAACTCCCTACTCCCAGACTTGTTAAAATGTCCCTTGTTAATCTAAATGTCAACAAACATCTCGTTAGACTATTTGATCATATGTAAATTTGCAAGAGTTTGTACCTGGAGTTTGCCTAAACATCACATACAGGAAGGAATAAATATCCCATTTCATTTGTCTTGAAAAAAAGGTATCATATAGGGATATCTACCTCATTATATAATAATGCCTATTATGTTTTCCTTAAAGAATTTATTATTGCTTAGTTTTACAATTTTATAAATTTGCAATCCAGAGTTAGAATGACTAACATAGTAGAACCTAAATCAAAATATAGAAATGTTTATACCTGAAATAATTGCAGAGAATTATTTACATCACAGGCCTCGACCCCTGATTTATTTTTAAATATTTAAAAATATGTATTAAATCTAAGCTTATAATAATAACCGTTAAGCTTAATTTATTTCTATAGTTGCCATGATTGCAAAGTAAAGGTAGATTTTTTCCTGTTCATGGAAAAATATGAATTTGCAAGAAAAGATTAAAAACATGAGAAGGAGTTGACTGCAGCCACATACCTGTGCAGCATGTGAATCCAGTCTCCTCAGGAACATAAAAAGAGATCAATTTCTTTAGTAAGACATGCACTGAAGTCACCTTGGTTTCTAGCTGGTAACTGCCCTTGATCAGCATCGCCACCTGCAGCGGGACTCCATCAGCCCCCAGCAATCCTCCAGAATGAAGCCACCCATGATAGCTGAAGCAAGAGGTACCTTCTGTGCCAATTGGTACACCCTGTTTGCTATCACAGTAATTAAAATAAATTTACCTTGTAGATAATGTCATTTAGAAATGTCTATTTTCTAATTTAGTCAATTTGTGAAACGCTAGTTGTGATTGTTTGCTGTTATAAAACCAAGGAATGAATGAATGTATTCCCCTCGTGTCCCTAGTTAATAATAATAATAATAATAATTCTCCTGTCCTATTTGGAGAACTGTCTATTCAAGTCCTCTGCCCATTTTTAACTGGATTGTTTGTCTTCCTTTTGTTGAATTGTATGAGTACTCTATATATTTTGGATATTAACCCCTTATTCAATGTATCGTTGACAAACATGTTCTCCCAGAGAGTGGGTTCCCTTTTCATTTTGATTCTGGGTTTCTTGTTTTTTTGTTTTTGTTTTTGTTTTGTTTTGTTTTTCTTTGCTGAGCAGAAGGTTTTTTAGTTTGATGTAGTCCCATTTATTAATTGTTTCTTGAATTGTCACTTAAGTAGGGACTTCTAAAAATCTTTGTTTCTCTTGTTCTTGGTGATGCATCAATGAAAATTCCAGTACATACGATGTCTGAGATTTTTCTGCCTATGTTTTCTTCTAGGATTTTTATGGTTTCATGAGTTACATTTAAGTCTTTTATCCATTTTGAGTTTATTCTTGTGTATGGTGTAAGTTGGTGGTCTAGTTCCATTTTTTTTTTGCATGTACCCGTCCAATTTTCCCAACTCCATTTATTGAAGAGACTGTCTTTTCTCCATATGCTCTTGCCTCCTTCGTTGAATATTAATTGTGCATACTATCTTGGGTTGATTTCTGGATTCTCCGTTTTGTTCCATTGATCTATATGTCTGTTCTTGTGCCAGTGCCAGGCTGTTTTGATTATGATGGCTCTGTAGTATAACTTGATATCTGGCATTGTTATCCCTCCCACTTTGTTCTTCTTTTTCAGGATTGCTGTGGCTATACAGTGTCTTTTTTGGTTCTGTATAAACTTTTGGAGTGTTTGTTCCAGGAGACATGAAAAAATGCTCAACATCTCTAATCATCAGAGAGATGAAAATTAAAATGACTATGAGATATCACCTTATACCTGCCAGAATGGCCGCCATCAACAAATCCTCAAACAAGTGCTGGTGAGGCTGTGGAGAAAAGGGGACTCTAGTACACTGCTGGTGGGAATGCAAACTGGTGCAGCCACTAGGGAAAACAATATGGTGCTTCCTCAAAAATTTCACAATGAAACTTTTGACCCACAATGACATTTGACCCAGTGATCCCACTTCTAGGAATGTATCCTAAGAAGCCTGAAACACCAATCAGAAAGAATATATGCACCCCTACATTCATAGCAGCACTATTTACAATCGCTAAGATCTGGAAACAGTCCAAGTGCTCATTGGTAGATGAGTGGATGAAAAAGCTGTGGTGCATTTACACAATGAAATACTATGCAGCTGTAAGAAAGAAAGATCTCTCATCCTTTTAGATGACCTGGAGAGACCTGGAGGGTATCATGCTGAGTGAAATAAGCCAGTCAGAAAAAGACAAGTACCACATGATCTCACTTATTTATGGTTTATCATGAACAAAATAAACTGTGGATCAAAATACATCCAGAGTCATGGAAGTGGGAAAAAGACTGACAAAACTCAGAGGGATGGGGAGTCGGGGGGAGGGAAGAGATAAACCAAAGAACTTCTATGCATATATGCACAACCAGTGGACACAGACATTACTGTGGGGAAAGCAGGAGGGTGTGGGAGCAGGGAGGAGGGAGTCAATGGGGGAAAAAAAGGGGGAACATCTCTAATACTTTCAACAATAAAAAAATAAATAAAATAATAATATTTTAAATATGTTTCCCTCTCTCCCTTGATCTCAGTCCCCTCCTCTGAAGTAAACACTGTTAACCCGTTAAAGAGTATATATAGCCCTGGCCAGTTTGGCTCAGCAGTTAGAGCTTCGGCCTGCGGTCTGGAGAGACCCGGGTTCGGTTCCCGCTAGGGGCATGTACCTCGGTTGCAGTTTGTCCCCGGCCCTGGTTGGTCGTGTGTATGGCAGCCACTCGATGTGTCTCTTTCATGTCGATGTTTCTCTCCCCTCCTACTCTATCTGTACAAAAAATGGAAAAATGTCCTCGGGTGAGGATAAAAAAAAAAAAAATGAGTATATATAGATGGACTCCTTTGAAATTGACTTATCCATAGGTTAAAAACAGCAAATATTGGCAATTTCATATGGTTCAATCTATTACTTTAAGGCTTTTTAAAAAAATCTGCTTTGTATTAATACTATTGTTCTTTGGAATTAATCTACATGCATCTCAGTAAAATATTTTTAAGAGGCCTTTGACTTCCGCATTTTCTTTTCTTAGCATCTTACAGTCTCTGATTTTTATATCACAGCATTTCATCACCACTTCAGTGTGCTCCCAACCCTTGATAATTAGTTTGACACTACATTCAATCAAAATCTGGGCTTATTGCTGTTTCCTAAGTAACAAATATAGTGTCAGAGAGAGAATGAAAAAGTGAACAGAAGG